TTTTCAGTCAGCAGTATTCTACAATTCACTTAATTGTGAATTGAGGTATTTTCAGTTCAGATCAAGTCTCTTATTCAGTATTAAATTACTGAATTCTCTAGTCATGCAATCAGTAAGTATAAGCTTTAAGTTAAGCTTGTACATTCCAGTTGTACTGTTTCCGAGGAGCTCAAGAGGAGATTAACTTGAGCACCAGCGTTGATTATTCCCGATCCTTCTCGGAGTTTCACTATCTTCAGCGATGCTTCGAGACAGGGCTTGGGATGTGTCCTGATGCAGGACGGGTCGTTGCGTATGCTTCACGTCAGCTTAAGCCTCATGAGCAGAACTATCCTACGCACGATTTGGAGTTAGCCGCAATTGTTCACACTTTGAGGATTTGGCGTCATTATCTTTACGGCGGACGCTGCGAGATATTCACAGATAATAAGATCCTACAGTACATCTTCACGCAGAAGAAGCTTAATATGAGGCAGCGCCGTTGGCTCGAATTGGTCAAGGATTATGATTGTTCTATCCAGTACCATCCGGGGAAGGCGAACGTCGTCGCAGATGCCCTAAGCCGAAAGGTGACGGGAGATTTGACGTACGTCATTACGCAACAGAGTCCATTGATCCATGAGTTCGCCCGGATGCAGCTTCAGGCGATCGATGTACTCCCCATAGCTGTCTCGGGGAGCACTAGTGCCAGTGTCAGTGCTATGCAGCTTCAGCCGACACTAAGGGAGAGGATCCGGCGAGAGCAGGCTTCTGACGAATTTGTTCATGTCATGGAGGCTAAGGTTCACGCCGGAGGAATACAGGATTTTCATATAGGCGCCGATGGTGCCTTGGAGTTCAGAGGCAGGATCGTGGTCCCGAAGGCCAAGGCATTGCGGAAGGAGATTCTATCAGAGGCACATACCGCACCTTACTTGGCCCATCCCGGGAGCACGAAGATGTATCACGACCTGAAGGGGTCGTTTTGGTGGAGAGGCATGAAGAAGGACGTCGCTGAGTTCGTTAGGCGGTGTCTTACCTGTCAGCAAGTCAAGGCCGAGCATCAGAGTCCAATTGACCTCTTACAGCCACTGCCGATTCCTAGGTGGAAGTGGGAGGAAGTTACTATGGATTTCGTTACGGGATTACCTAGGTCGTCTGAACATCACGACGCTATCTGGGTCATGGTCGACAGATTGACGAAGGTTGCGCATTTCTTACCCGTTTCGATGAAGATGTCTCTGGACAAGTTGGCTGAGATATATACCCGTGGGATCATCCGACTCCACGGAGTGCCCGTCACGATTGTATCAGACAGAGATTCCAGATTCGTCAGCCGATTCTGGCACAGCTTACATGAGGCGATGGGCACCAAGCTTGAATTCAGTTCAGCCTACCATCCGGAGACGGACGGTCAGTCAGAGAGGACGATTCAGACATTTGAGGATATGCTTCGCGCCTTGGTTATTGACAGGGGTGCAAGTGGGAGTCACT